AAACGACCGGGGCCTGTAGATCCTAAGTTTTAGGCTTTTAGGCTGAATGTCCGGGACGGGTCCTACAGGGCCCGTGTGGCTACCCAGTATGCCACAACAAGCTTATGGTCTTCGAGCAAGGCTCGCTGCCGAGTACGGACTGGATCGCCGAGTACCAACGCTTGACGTCAGTCCCAGACATCCAGATGGGCTTCAAGGCCATCTGCCACTATTTCATCTCAAGGGCATGGCCGACATTGAGCAATGCCCTGACGCATGTCGAGGACACCTTGACGACGACGGCGGAATTATTCCACAAGGCTGCACAGATCATCGTTACGAACAAGGAGGCCAAGAACCTCCGTTCATCTGCGTCAGGCCCGAGCGGGAACCAGCATCGGCCACGAGTGGCCGTGGTCGCAGCGGCAGCGCCGTTAGACCAATCCAGCGAGGATGCGTCTGCCAATGAAGGAGACAGATTCGCAGCCGCCTGGGAAGGTGGCCGCCCCGGCAGAGACTAAGGTCGCGGCAAGCCGAAGACACACACCGTTTCTAGCCCCGGGCCCGGTGCAGCAGCTCAGACAGGCCCATGGACCCCGTACGACATCTCCGAGTCCGCCTACAAGGCGCGCGAGAGATTCCATTATTGCCTGTGGTGCAACAGCGATCTTCATCTGACGCCGGTTTGCCCACTAAAGGGCAAGGGTCGACAGGGAAACTGAGCACCGCCAAGAGTGATGCGACGACACTCTCGACGCCTTCGAAACTGGTTTCGTCGCGAGTGACCAGCCTTCATTCTGAGGCGCACGAGGAAGTCGACAGTCCTCCGCTTCTACTTTGATTTGAGGACTATGCTGCCCGGCTCGTTCCAACGTTGGGTACTCAAGCTCAAGGATAAGGAGTGTGTGCGGTTTCTTCTCCGTCCGGCAACAGCGACAGATCGTCTTCAAGTGGTTCGTCACGGGATTCGGCGCGCGAGTTCAATGTAGAGGCATTCGACTCGCTCACGTCTGAGGACTTTGCATGGCTTCCTCTCCCGACCACAAGTTGTTTGCCGGGACCGCAATGCGCAGCACTTAGCGCTCATCTCCACACTTACCTTTCCTTCTATGCACCACCAACTTCGCCGACGGATGAGGAAGTCGCGGTGGGGGACATCCTGGCGTACGTTACCAAGGTGGCCCGCGAGTTTGGCACGCAGCGCATCCAGGTTGGGCAAGCGTCCTGCAGCGCTTTGCTGGATAACGGCGCGACTCGCAACTTCATGAGCCAGTCTTTTATGCAAAGAGCTGGC